TTGTTTATCGCGTAACGAGAACAAAGTTTTTTTTACTCCTTGAATCCGGTGTCTCTCATACCGTTAAATTAAGGTTATTATTTATACCCGAACACGTGCACGCGCCTATAAATAATATGTTTCTTCCGCTATTATCCTTTACTATGTTTTTACCGGGATTCAGCGTCCAAGTAGGTATAATCCTTTGAAGAATTACTGATGTGTCTGACGACCGCGAAACGCCGGACGTGCGGACACAATAATAATATGATTCCGAGCAAAAAAACTGAAAAAGATAAGTGGCAGCTTTCTAAGACTTTTCATCATGCAAAGAGTAGTAATTTTGCCCTGAATATTTTCCATACACAACACAAAAACATTATTTTATTTTGGAAATGTAGTTTACATATTCTAAACTAACATTTTAGAAATATTTCATGCACAAACGGTTATACGGTTATACGGTTGCATGGGTTTAAATTGCATACACAAATTATTAGTCAGATTTATCAAATCTAAAAATAAAAATTGTTGTCCTTCATAAATAATGTTCTCGAACCGAGACCTTTTGACGTAACAAAATAACGACAGCTATAAAATCATAACTAAAATACAACTTTAACTAAGACTAATTGAGGTGATACAAATAGGTGTTTTCCTATAACCCTACTAATGCTATGTAATTGAAAATAAAAATAAAAAAATTATTGTAAATTTATTTTGTACAGATTGTTTTTCTAAAAAAAAAAAAGATTTTCCACTAACTGATTTATTATTGTTGATTCAGTAATCATTAAACGTTTCTAATGTTAATAGCCCGGCCAACAGGGAATATGAATAACAAACATAAATAATAGGGTAGAACGTTGTGAACGAGGGGTGAACTAAATTGACCGGCCCGTTAGCGTTTCACTCAAAGAGCTGCCGGCACGTTAATCGAACAATCAACAATTTAATAGTCTATTGTGATTATTTAACTAATATATTTACACGCCGTATAAGACTAGATTGTTAAAAATGTGTTGTTTGTTCATTGCCTGAGAGATGCACATTTGCTGTTATCCGGCTCTCTTTAAACAGTATTAACTCGGGGGTTCATTTCTTGTTTATTATTTAAACCTAACTATCTTGTAGATGATTATCATGTAAGTAAACTATATTATGTTTTTGTGATATAATATTCACAGTTAAAATTCATCGCAACGGGCGTAGTAAATAACCACGATAACATTCTAAACAAACTAATCTAAATCTATATCCGTTGAACTGTATATTACATAAATAATGATAATTATTATTTCTATTATTACGACCTATAGCAACGAGCGTTCGTCGTGTCGGCTAATATGATTTATGATTTTCGTTTTTTAAGTGCGTTATTTTGGATCGTCAGAATCCGAGCGGAGGTGCCGAACTTGCGCAAGTGTAAGTTGTCGCATTCTGGAGTCGAGTACAGGGGCAATGTGTTCGTCACCGAATCAAAATCTCTATGTCGGTCGTGGATTTCGATGGGAGTAAGCCATAATCATGACAAATAAATAAACAACCACGTCGCTAAGTAATGATTTATAAAATTAAAAACATATAAACAGTGTAATTAAGAAATGAAAACTATCGTTAATTTAGATTTGAATTGCGAAACCGTAACTAGCCAAATTAGGAAAAAAATGTCTTAAGACGTCGCGTCGTCTCATATATTTATTAGAATATGGTACTGTAATCATAGCGGCTTATGATTACTTAAAATATTTGGTTTTAATTTAATGTGGTTCTTAATGCTAATAAAAAGTTTTAAAAAGAAGGATCTGATAATTATTGTTTCTCAGGGATCAAAAAACGTAATAGGTTAACCCTGAACCCAAGTGCAATCTATAAAGGCTACTCAACTAACAGTTGATTAATTCAAATAACCCCCTGATGTGATAATATTCCAGATGACTCGTTTAGGGTAGCTACAACTTTTGAAAGTAATAAAAGAGAATGGAAAATCTATGAAAGACGCTTTGATATTTTAACAAATTTTAAAAAACAAATTATACTTTTTATAGCATACGTTTATACTAGTCCAGATTTTGAATTATGTATTTTCTAATTATTTATTTTTATAAATGTTCATTCTAACATTATTGTTATGGCCGATTGCACTAATCATTCTTAAAACTTAAGTATAATTTAACCTAAAGTTTTCAGTAGTTCAGTAGTTTCAGGTTAAGCAACATTTAATGTATAGTTAGTGGCTGGTGCAAACTGCCATTACAGTATGTTTTAGGCAGTAAATACAATTTTTTCGACTTTTTCTTTAGTTTCAAATTAATCAAATTTCTCATTAAAGGTCTAGAAAAATAATATTAAGGTAGGTCCAGCTACTAAAAAGTTATAATCTAATATCGTTATAAAAATAATTTAAATTGACATGTTTAAAGTAGTGTCACTGCCATTGTAAATTGTTCAACAATTTTTTCATTGTTTTTAATATTACAGATTGTAAATATATTTTTAATTTTTAATAAAAAAAAAAGTTGCCATGTGGTATTGTTTTATTGTTATTTCATAATTGAAATCTAAAACAAAACAAATTCCAGCTTAAAAGTAAAACACAATTATAATAAATAAACTATTGCTCTACTTTTGGTTTAAAGTAATTTATTGCATTGAAAATATTGCGTTGTAATTCTTTTTGCATCGACAATTCGCTCTTTCCGTAAATAGCTTCAGTCGAATAAATGCCTGGCGTCAAGAAGCCGATCATATTGCGGTACCGCTGAGAAAGTTCCGTGCACGTGTCCATGAAAAATATCATTCTATTCAATATATTATCACTTTTGTCTTTTAGTATACCGACGGCGGCTCTTATCTGTTCAATCGGCCTTGTCGTTATGTGATATTTTGCATATTTATTACGCATGTGAGCCAACAACGCCTCGAACCAAACATACGCAGCGTCATCCATTTTCGCCTCGGGTTTATTTAGTATTTCGATGGTCAAATGACAGAATCTATGTATAGCCGTGATACCTGCACTCTCGACGGCGTTTGTAACCCGGACATACCCCTCGAAGTCGTCACCGTTCTTCATGCAATCCTCTACTACGTCTCGCAATCGTCTGCCGGCGGTATCGACGGTGTATCTGCCCGTTCTGTAGGCCGTATAACTATCGGTTTGGTCCACGCCAATTTGTAAAACACCACAACCCTCGGGTAAGTCCGGAAACGGCGGTATTTTGAATCTGGTGCCGTCCGCAATAGTTGTCGGTGCACTAACGCAAGGCTTGTCGAAATCTGTATAGGATGTGCCGCCATTTAACACCAGCTTCATAAGTTTCACTTCGGTTTCGATTGTACTGATCAAATACCGTCTAGTTTCGTCGTTGACCTCTTTCAGAGGCGCCTTTGCTTCACAAAACCGAAGAACACACACGATAACGCACGTTCGCACAAAGTTCATTACTAATGTATTGTCGTTGTTCTCGTTCGAAGAATATGATAAAAAAAACTAGTGTCAACCGATTCTTAAAATATACTATCAACTACGTTATAATCACAACATTAACAAATACAATACACAAATTAGTCGTTTTGATGTTAACTAGTTTACAAGTCTATCGTCTTAAATCAATACATATCTTGCATCTTTTCTATTTCTAAATTATAGCCTACCAATATTCTGATTTTTAGACCAAATAAAACAAATTTATAAGCAATTAATTTTTTTTTAATAGCTAAAATATTGTGTAGAAAAAACGGATTTAAAATAAATTTATCAAATAAAAAGTAGACTGGATGGAACACGGTTGGGCACCTGTGTATACCATGATTCGTTGCAACTCTGTGTACTTAGTAATAAAAACATGTATTTTCAAAAACTTGGTAAAAAAACAAAACGCTGCGTAGCGCTAGAGCCTAGAATTATATTATTATATTATTGATATGACCTAGAAGTGAATAGATGATATAATAGATAATATAGACGGTGTGTGCGTGTGGAATGAATAAAGAAATAACGTATTGTCTTGTTGAGACAGTATTACATTGATTAAGTTTTGTAACATATTTGTTTAATGTGCTAGTTATAAACTTGTGCTAATTTTAAATTTAATTTATTGGAGAAAATGTACTTTTCATAATTTTGCTTAGTTACTATAATAATATAGTACGTCTAATTAATGATTTATCTCGCTAGAAGTGTAAGTAATTAAAATAAGTACATCTGTAGATGGAATTGGATGAACAGTTCATGGACGGGTCCAAGAGGTTAGCGAAAAACTACTGCCGTAATCCTAACGGGACCAGGCCGGATCTCTGGTGCTACACATTCAATCAAGATTCGCCGGTGGAATCGTGCGCTGTGCACTTATGCAATTCCAAAAGTTAGATTTTTATCTTATTAAAAATACATTATGTTCAGTATACGAATGCCGAATCGAGCTGTTGTCTTGAAACTGATTTTATTTGGAATTTTCAATTACACGTCATGTCTACTAAATTAACTTGTTTAGATGTTTTCATATCATATACCTACTTGTCAGACAATTTCTTTAAAGATTCAATTTAATTTTACAACTATTTTATAAAGTTTCATTTTTAAAACTTTTAGTTGAAATATTGATAAATGATATATTAAACGTCGTTCAAACATTTTCATCAATTGAATTTTTAAAAATAATATTTAATATTTCCTGACTAGTTTTTGACCTTTGCGTAGAATGCAAGATGACGGGTCCGGGCGTTGAGTATGGCGGGCGGGTTAACACCACCAAAACGGGTCACTCGTGCGTGAGATGGGCCGAAGTGCCGGATGACCGGTCCGCAAGCTCGGCGTTTCCCGAACGCAGTTTGATGGCCGCCAATAACAGGTGTCGGAATCCGAACGGAGACCCGGGCGGGCCCTGGTGTTACGCTAAAGTGGACGGAACCGTTGTAAAAGATTACTGCGATGCCGTGGATTGTGACCTGTCGGGTTGTGCGACGTACGTTAGTGGTTACGGTCACAGCAGCGACGCGACTCACGGCCATTACTCGACGGCCGGTCTGACAGGCGTCAAAGACGGTTACTTGCGTTTTGTGTTGAAAGCATGGGATCCGACTGACCGTTCGGGCCGCACCGTCCGACTGGCCCTGGTCGAGTATCCGTCGACCGCGGAAAAGGCCATGCAGGGAACCGGGTTCGAAGTGGTAGTGCCAGCTACTGCGTTTACCGCGGCCAGTCCTGTCTACATGGATTTATCGTGGAACAACGGGTTCGTCGTGCTCACGGCCACTGCCGGCGGACACACCAAGGAAGTGTTCAGCCAAGAGCTAGACGCCACCACACTACCGCTATTGCCCATCTCGTACCTGAGTATTTCCGGTGTGGCGGCCGTCGTCGGATATCCTCATTGTACAGCCGGTAAGACATTATACAGTTTGAATAGCCGTAGAGATATGATAAGTCAGCTGTATGAGCTGTAATAAGTTTCCTTCAATACAATTTTCTAACATAATTCTACTTTATACCACTTATATTTTTCATCAGACATAATTTAAGGAATTGATTCTATTCTCCATACAATTTTTTATATTAAAGAAAAATTATATTTTTTAACCCAGACAAATAATAATAAATAATACAAAATAATACTCATATCATGATTTTGAAATTGTACCTATAGCTTTGTCTACCATAATATAGTGGTTGTGGTCGTCATACAATAGTGTAGCCAATAGTTAATATCAATTCACAACTTAACTCAAGTACATTTGGAAAAAAGTAATTTTATTCCATTTTTTTACAACTAGATTTGTGTTTTGAAAAAATTAAATATATTTTTAAAATTGACAACATTGAATTTAGTTAAATATTTATTAAATTAATTTATAAGCTAATAATTTAAGTTTAATGTAGTAAAAAAATATCTAGTAAAGTAACGTACTAATATTTTTTTTTAAATTGTTAATATTCGAAAACAGTGAAATTAATACTCCAAAAACGATTTATTTATTTAGTTTTTGTAATAAATTGTTAAGTCAAGACTAAAAATATAAATATACAGCTAAGTACAAAATTACTTAATTAGTTTGATTTATACATTATACTTGGTGTTTACTTACTGCATTTGATTTAGGATGTGAAGAACACGTAACTAACAACGAAGGAAATTATAGAATTTGGCCTTTGAGAAGAACAGAATTTTTCGGTACTGAACTAATATTCTCCATCCGCGCTGTGCTGTCGGCGTCCATTACTTATTATACAGCTCCTTCAAAACATGTGCCGAGGCTTAATGTAAGTAAAATTAGTTGTAGGTGTAGGCGCAATCATGTAAGGTTAGTGACTTTATAGTTTCTCTTAAATATTCCAAAATTTTCAACTATCTAACTTCGACGAGAATCCTGTCATTTTACTGTACTCTGTTCCACATGACCACATATGCTGTCATTTATTACTCGCAGGCAATAGTATAACTTATTTTAAGATCTCTGTGTATGTAGATAGGATGTATTTAATATCAACAAAATAAATTACAGATCACTCTACAGGCTCGACCTTTAAGTCAAATAATTATTTCTTACTTGGAAACAACGACAGGTGAAGAACAAGAAGTGTATCGACAATCTTTAGACGCTGAGCGAATCTTTTCTTATTGGACATGGCATCAATATACAATCACGTAAGAACTAAGAGGTGATTTTTTTATAGAAATAAATTGTGACATCGATTAACTTGCTAACGATGTGTACGAATATGAAACGGTGTGCTATACGGATGACTGAAACAGTGAAGCCTAAAGATGGAGTGCATTAAAATAACCCGATTTAATAAAATTAAACTACAGTTAGAACTTATGCTACCCGTTAAAACAATTGAAGTTGATTCATCGAGTATTTCTTTAGTCTTATAAGTTATTTTTATGAAGTGCATTTTAAATTAATACATGTACAGTGTTCACTGTTTTAGCTTGGTTCGATGATTATAATTTATAATACTCCTATCCATAAATATACCATTATTGCGATAATAATCGACTTATATTTGCTTTTAACAAACTACATCTGATTACCGGTACTTAAATAAAATATTACTTTGTATATTCGCCCATGTTTGAGTTAACTCGAATTCGGGAGATATAAATGTAAAATGGGTTTAAATAACAATGGCTACTCCGTTGCCCGACGGCTATGTTTGCATTCTCGTTTATTTTATGTAATATATGTATACAATATATCTTCACCCCATTCAATTACGGTTTAATAAAATTGATAAAAAAACTACTTCTGAAGCAGAGTGTACGCATTTTCTGTGTAATGCCATTTTCATTGCAATCGAATACAATAGGAATTTTACAACAATACATTATGTAGTACAATGTATGCACAGTGCACACAGTTGTGTTGATTTAACTGCACGTTTTTAATAATAAATGTATTTAAAAATAAATGCTGATTTATTTTAAATTAAACCATTTAAAACATATTATGAATTGCTGTTCGTTATATAAAAATTAAAATTACTAATAGTTTGAAATATTACATCGGACATACACCAAGTACTAAACTTTGTTTTGTTTTAGTATTTTAGATAAAAAGTTGCAAGTTCAAAAGCTAAACAAACATAACAAAACGATTACGTTGTTAAGCATAACAGATTACAAATTTCAATTTTTCCACTGGTTCGGTATCGGCTCAAAGACCGTAGCACACTGGACACTTTATTGCAGCGGACCCGGGAGTGAGTGTTGTCGATTTGCCAACAAAAAACGGGACGAGGATTTTAAATTGCGTTAATCACCACACAGACTACCCTTTGCCCGTGGCCGAGTTACCGGAATGTACGATTTCGGAAATGGCTAGCGAGTACAGAGGATCTAAGTGGATCACCGAAGACGGTCAACAGTGTCTTCCTTGGAACATCACTTCTGTGCGAAAAGTAAGACATCAGCTGTTAATTTCTATACGAATAAAAAGTCATTTTGTAATTCCTTACGCGACAGAAAGTAAAAGAAAAGCAATTGGTGGACGGCAGTTATGCGGCGGCCAAGAACTATTGTCGGAATCCGACTAATGACCCCAAAGGTCCGTACTGTTACGTGGCCACCGCAGGGACTATAGTGCTGAAACGACAGTGTCGGATTCGGAAGTGCAGAAATACGGGTAAACAGCCGTGGTGTATAATACAACGTTGTTATTTACTTAAAAATTTTAACCGTGAACTATTGTTGCCCGTTGGTAAGAATGTCACGTCGCTGGAGTGGCTACCGACTACGTCGGCACTTTGAATAAGACCATATCGAACCGCACGTGTTTGAAGTGGGTACGTTTCAATTTTTCAAATGGACTTATGATTAATGATAAACCTAGTAATACAAAAAAGAAACGATATACCTAGTATTACTTTTACATATTTAATCAGTAATACAAACACTGACTGTCTCCGTCAGTTTTAATAACCCAAATTCCGACAACCCATTAGTATTAATGATTATATTGCACTGAATTAATAAGATTCGGGTTTACAGATTAGTTTTTTCAATATCGTTTTCAATTAATTGTAACTGTTATATTAATCTTATAGGTAGTATAAAATTACTATTAAAAAAATTAATTAATTTTACCAGTTTTCTATGGGTGGTACAAAAAAAATAATAAATTCCAAAATCGACAATTTAACTTTGGATCCTTTATAAGGATAACTTAGTAATAGAGTACTTTTGGATTTTGGTTTGTTTTAGACCAAGAGGGCCAATTTGAAATATTTTTTCCCAGATAGATCTACAAAGGACGCGTCCAACTATTGTCGGAATCCAACGAGAGAACCCACCGGAGTTTGGTGTTACACCGGAGACAATGCTGAGACGGATCTGTGCGACGTACCCAGTTGTACGGTCGACGATTCTGAAGCGTTGTTGGTTGGCGGTGAGGCCGGTAGGAACGTGCACTGGATATACGTGATGCCCGAATGGAGGGTAACGGGAATGCGAGTTCGACTTAAGTATTGGATGCCAACCGTATACGAAGGAGTAGCGCTTTACTTCAAGAGTTTTGACGAGGCTGCTGGATACGATGTCCTTGAATTGGGTGCCGAAAAAAACGAAAAGCTCAAACTTTACAAGACGGACGGATCGGGTGATAGGAGTCGAGTAAAAGAACAGGTGTTTCCGCACTTGTTGTTGGCCGGAAAATGGAGAGAGTTCCGGTTTAACATGGACGCATCCGGTTCGGTGGAAATGCGTTCGGAAGACGACGAGGCGACAATAATGCAATGGTCGAGGGACGATCACTTGCCCTCAAAGAACAAACGCATCGTGTTTGTCGGAGTATCATCCATTGATGAGGGTTATGTCGGCGTAAGATTCGTCAGCGAAGGTTTCTCGCATATAGATCCACTAGATAGATTGTTGCTTTTAACCAACATTAAGTGATAAAGAATTGACCTATTACCGCCAAAATAACATTTTTGAGAAAATAATGAATAATAATTTTATATTTTCCTACTAAGTAACATCAGATAATATACATTTAAGATTTGTCACAAGATGTTCTCCTGGATTTGCGATTTTTTTTTTTTTACTTCAATATTTTTACAGATTGTTTGACTCATATTTCGACATCCGAAGAGTTTTCCGTTTACTTACCGATTAACTTTCATTCGGCCGCGAGTCTCGGAGAAGCTGAAAACAAAATTAATTTTTACATGAGACACCAAGGTGAATTTTGCAGTTTTAAATTGAGGGATTAAATTGAGGGATTCAAGCATAAAACTTATACTTATTGATGGGACTTGCCACTTTGCACTTTATCGAAATTGGGAGAAAATGGCCGTAACCGCACATAATTATTTAAATTTTGTTTTTCAACAATATTGAATTAAACTAAGCAACAAAGGTATAGGGACAACCATTTATAATTATTGCATATGTTAGCCGACATGTCGAACGTGTTGGGTTTTACTATGGTTAATTTATTATTATTATTAAGTAATCTTTAATTCAATACACTAATAGTGAACCAGCCGTTATTTTATTTACACAGGAACAACACGAATAGCGCTGATACAACAGCGATTGGACAGGCGTTATGAACTGGAAATCCAAAGCAACAGAGTCACGTTTTCGTGGTGGTCCAAAGACGTGCCACCAAAAGTATTGGGAGTACATGAATTCGAATCCGACGTGATCAAACATAACTCGTGGAGCGATATTGATTTAAAGTAAAACACGAATTAGGTCAAAACATTTTTTTTAATAGATTTTACGTTTTACAATGTGTTAAAGGTGGACCGAATCAACCTTGCGGTTCAAATGTTACGTAGGTTTGCGAATTTGGACTTTGCCGGCGGATTCGGCCCCGCTGTTGGTCCGGTACTTCTCAATAGCCAACCGGAATGGTCGAACCACGTGGACCGTCAACTGTGACCCACCCGAAATAGATGGAAAGCCCAGAGACGGCGGATGGAGTGAGTGGAGCGAATGGCAGTATTGCTCCAAGACGTGTGGCACCGGGATGGGAACCCGAAGTAGACAATGCAATCAACCTAAGCCAAATATGTTTGGAAAACCCTGTACCGGGCCGTCCGTATCGAAAGGCCAGTGTAACGTGCACGAGTGCGGTCAGTTATCCGAAAAAGCTATCAAGGCGGTGAACGATAGGCTAAGGAATCAAACACACAACGTGAGGGCCATCGAGGGCGACACGTTGTCGTTGTCGTGTGATAAGCATATCGTCGAGATCGTCAAAAGAGACTTGGTAAATCCCAAATTCAAGTGGCTTAAGAACGGTAGACTGTTGGCTGGTAATAAGAAAATGGTCGAAGATCGCGAAAGCTGTAAACTAGGTAAGGTTCACATGAGATTATTTTGCGAAGCACTTGGCTAACTAATGGTATAGAGATCTATTATTGGAGTCTTTTATTTGCCTCTCCAAAATATGCAGTTCAATGAGGCGGATCCCTGTTTTACAAAAACGCATCTGTAAGTATGATATTTTTTTCAGTGATTCCAAAATGCTCGTATAAAAATGCTGGAGTGTACGCGTTTACAGTACAGCCACCCGAGTCGCAAATAGTCGTCTTAAAATTGTTTGCAGTGACTATCAAACAAAAACCCACGTCAGTCTATCTGGGAGATAAAATTCAAGTGCAGTGCAATGCAGTCACGTTAGGATATTTTTTCGGGGGTTTGTCCCAACAATGGATACTGAACGATAGTTTTATAATCAAAGACTATGGAATTACTACATTAGCGGTTGTAAGTGTAGAATAATGTGTACATTTTAAACAAACAAACAAAATAATTTTATACATATGTACTATATATACATATTATATGATATTATAATTGTAAAAGGTCGACGTAGACACCATAACCGTAGAAAAACTGAATTTCCAAGGCACTTGGACTTGCGTTGTCCGACACGCGAAAATGAACAGCACTTGGACGACTGAAATAAGATATATTAAAAGTAAAACACGCGGTGTATTTTGTATACTTAAGGATACACGTATACGAAACGCTCACCTAAACGGATTACATAATATTCATCCTTAACGAAATATTATACATAGTTATAGGTCCGTCGACTGCGTGGACGCGGTTAATGCAAGACCCCATGATAAAAATGATATTTTGGAAAGTCAATTCACCAATAATAATGGTTAGAATATGCGTAGTATTGATTATGAGCGTGTGCTTATGTACCTGGGGTGGAGCTTGTGTATTTAACAGGTATATTAATATAAGTAAACGGTACAAATGACCAAAACGAAAATAACATTAAAAACGATTTACATTTTTAATATTTAAAAAAAAAAACACAAATTACTTTAAAATTAAATTTATACTTTTATATTTTTAGATGGCGCAAGCAGCCAACGAAAAAGAACAATACACGATGAAAATTATTTGGTCGCGTTATCAATTACTCACAGAACTTTTCTTTATGAAAAATTAATTTTAACCATTAATCCTGGTTCTATTACTTGATTTTCCACTTGTAAAATGGACAGTTTGATAAGTTGGTTTGTTTATTTTTTCGCCAGTCAATGAAAATGTAATAAATATTAGTACGTTTTCTATGATTCTAAGGATATATTATTACATTTTGCTATTTATTTCAATAAATTTGATTAGATTTTCTATATGATTACGACTATCATATTTTGTTCATAAAATATATAGTTCAGCAATTATAATTATCGTCCCTCAGTACTATTGACAAATACGCTGAAAATCTCTACTGGCACTTCTATGGAAAAATATATACTTTTAAATTAACTAGCAATAATCATTAAATATACATTTTTAAATTCACACCGAAATACCTAATACTTGTACTTATTTATATTTACTTGTTACCAGATTTGTATTACAATGCAGTCTATCAACGAGCATACGCGTTATAAGTTACTCGCTCCACGTGTTCATAGATCGCGCCACATGTATTTCATTAAAACTTGTTGCATTAGGATAAACAAACCCGCTGGCATAAGAAATAAAACAATTAACAAACAATTCAGTGATTTTTAGACTATAACGTTGAATACGGTTATTTTTTAAAGGGTTAAAATATAGGCAATATTTGACAAAAATTATTCTGCAGCGCATTTTAATTATGTAAATTTTTTTTAAGAGTATATGGATTTTAATTTGCAAGCAATCGTTTTTCCAGTCTACATTTCTCTATTAACTATAGCGAATTTTCAGTATAAAACTAGTGTACAGTAAAACTGTCACTGTTACACATTCAACAATATTTTTTTTAAAAATATTCTTCTTTGTGTCGGGCTACAAACCATAATTGAGTTGAGTAGGTAGGGGTTGAAAGGATTGGCCAACGGTATTCGTTTGAAGGCTGTACCGTTTTTTTCATGGGCGCCAAGAACATTCACTCGTTCAAGAATTTAAGTGTTCTTTTCATAATATCATTAAACATTTTTTTCTCCATATTTTTAAATAGATAAAAATTTAAAAACAAATTCCAAATTGTATTCATTTTATTACATTTTTCTATAAACTCAAGGTCGAAGTTCTTTTTATTCTGACATCATAATCTACGCTTTAACGGCAAAACTTTTTTTGGAAAATTTTTTTTTTTTGATCTATAAATATTTTTAAAGGCTGGTATTTTACTAAAAAGTGTTATATTTGAAAGTCTATATACTCCTTAGGACTACAACCAAAAATTCTGAAATTTGTACAACACTTGCTTATAAGTGTACAAAACATCTGGTAAAAGTGACGGAGATCTGGTGACAGAGATTTATTTTTACTGAGAGTTGTAAAACTTGAATTTTTCAAATTTCGTTTTAAAAATGTATTATAATTTTTTTTTTTGCAAGAACAATACATGTTAAGAAAAATAATGAATTTTACCAACGTTAAGCATAAATATATTATTGACATTGATATGTCTTATGGCTGGGGGTCATTTCTGAAAATTTGTCCGTTATCCGTTAAGTGTACCAGTGGGAGGATGGAATTATTATGGAGGATGATTATTAGTAGTTAGTGTATTATAGTTTGTTATTAGTCTATCGCCCGGTACATTTTTTTCGATCCCATCGGTACTTGAGTATTGATTGCTAAATTTTATTTAAATTTTTATATTTTCAGAACGAGCACAATTAAATAAATGGTTAAATTTATCCAAAATAACTGACCAGGTGATTGTTACCAATAAACCAATTAAGGCCAAATATTAAAAATCATTTGGCCACAAAATAAAATTAAGACAATCCTATACTGTATTATCATATTTTAACGTTGCTATCGTTTAAAGAACGATTTCGAGAAAACTGAGTAAACTCAGTTATCCTTCTGACTCATTTTACATTTTATTATTTTTAAATCATCTTCATGTAAATTTTCCCCCATAAATCTATTAAAGTTACCTACTAAATTTACTAAAGCCCTTTTTTCGGTCTGGATGCTGTAATTCAGAAATAACAAAGCACAATTCGACGAGTGTCGGTCATCCAAGGAATCGGAATTCAATCACAGATTTGGCGTTCTTTTTTCTGCTGTTTGTCCGTTCTCGCCCTTAGACCCGCGTTCGGTTTGCAGTGTTTATACAGCGTACATTATTATAATATCCTACACGTAACATTATTATCATTATACCCGGGGTCTCATTGTTGTTATTATAATGTTGATCTCCTGCTTACGCAACGTCCCTACCTGCGTCCATTGTACCTACATATCAAAATTGCGCAACAAACTTGACGTACAACTATTTTGTATTTCTGACCTTCGTGGATCCCTGTTGCTGTCCGCTAACACTAATACCGTGTATCTTATAGTGATCTTCTGGCGTGCGTGTCCTTTATTAACAATAGTCTTAAAGGAAAATCTTAGGCGTCGATTGACCGCACCGTTCAAAGTGATCGCCTTACCCGGACACCGAGAGAGGACGGTTTATTTCGTTAGAAATAATAAGTGAAATTCTGTTTTAAAAGTCACAAAAAAAGGTTCAATGCACCCAAATTTAAGAAAAAATTATAAGGTTGAATTTCCTTTCCTATGATAATAATAATAATATGCTAACGAAACCGGAAATGTAGATACAATGTCATCTCAACGGTTACGAACTGGCCAATTTGATATCTGCCAAAAAAATGATAAATTAAATAACATAAATTTCAAATAAAAGCATATAATTAAAACATTAATTTTCAACATGATAATTGTTAATACAGTTATGATAACACACTATATCCGTTAAAAATGCTTAAGTAGTAGTAGCGATAAAGAGACTTTTATCAATGTATTTTAAATAAATAGTTGACGAGTCGTTTTCATAACTATGTTATTAGTTTTTTGGGATTTTCTAAAAGAAAATACTAAATACTTTTACTAAATATTAAAAATTAAATTAGAAATGAAGATCTACAAAGAACATTTAAAAAATATATTGTAACTATAAAGCATATTTTTCGGAAAGTTATAGCGTACCATAATGGGATAACAAATTCTTAAATTAATACTCGTTGAATAGCAACGAAAATAGCAAGTTTATGCCTTGTTATAGGTTGACGCCAAAACGCCAGGATAGGATGTGTTTTCATTCATTGCACACATTTAACATACTATCGTGTGAAAATCATAGTATGCCAAACCTCCACTCTCGTGGCCTTCGGACGATCGCCACGTTCACCGATTTGAAGTAGATAAATAACAGCTGCGAACTGAAAATCATGTTTTGATTAGCCAGGGGTAAAAAAACCTATAGGTACATATGTCATTTGCCAATTAAGTGTAGTGTATTCATTGTATCCTTTATGTCCCTCCGCTTTGATCGGATAATCACTGTTATTATTGTATAAAAGGGTCAATCCGTGTTAATATCTCCTTAATTATTAAACCGACAATAATATTATCTGATAAAATACCCGACTACTACCTACACCGAACAACATAATGTTAAACATGAAGTGAATAAATCGCATTATTTAGTCGTGTTATAATATGATAGCTATAGTTCAAAAGCAAATAACCCTTCCCCAAGTAAAATACAAATAATAAATTTAAAAAAAGATGTAGTTATGATTAATATTATTTTTTTTGTGTTCTTTTTCGTATTTATAAATGGAAAAATATATAAATTAGTTCGAATTTAATAAACAAAATTATATTATTATTAAAGAAAATACTGTACGTAGGTGAATACAGGTTATGTGTCATAAATTTAACATAACAAAAATATGTCTATTCGCACCATAAAAACGTTTGTCACTAGTAGTAATATAATTAATTTGGCCTTTCTTACTCTTTTAATTCTCAATAATTGTTTTAGAGACTGACTCATAACTTTTTAGGGAAATTAATAATTATTACCAAGAATTGGACAACGGCGTGCGGCAATCCACTCGCGATTTCTAAGTACAACCGGGTATTGTTAAGCATTCCATGTATTATCATTTTATTTTGTACATTTTAAATCATTGCTCTAAGTATGAAACGTAGTACAATAGTTTAAAATTATTATAAACTGAGTTTTTTTAGGAAAGACTGTGACGAAATTGGATACTTATATTGATATCATAGAGGCCTTTGCGTTTTATTTTTTTTAGAAACCCAATCCTTTTTAACCACTTAAATGCGTATAAACCGCATTCGTTTCTTCGTCTACTCTTGATATCTTCTTCAGGGCCAACTGGTCAACTGTGTTCATAAGAACCCGAAGATTTCTATAATACGTGTATTGTATATACAACATAAAATTAAAACCAGTTTTTTTCAGTTAGTTTTGAACCCACAAAAGTGTAAATCGATTTTACACTTGCCTATTGCGTGGAATTAGATTTTCATTGTTTTTTCAGGTGTCAAATATACGTTACTTAAATAGGTATTAAAAGCCATTTTTAACATCATGTAATATCCATGTAACATATACTTATATTTTTAATGTATTTATAACTGCATTATAAAAGTGAACACCAATACATTTGAAAAATGTCCAGCCAAATAATACCAATTATTAAATGATTTAGTTTACAGTGCTAAAATAAATCATTTAATTATGTGTAAACTTTATACATGTGTTGATATTTTAATCACTGCTTCGTAAGATTCTCATTGGTAAATAAATCGAGGTATTGTGATTAAACTATGATTGGGGCAGCCCGAGACCCTGATTAAATTCATAAACGTTTGAACGAAAAGATTTGATTATATTTTTTAATAGTATACTCATTACCTATCTTAGTAAATATTGACGTCTGTAACTTGAACAAACAAAAAAGATAGGAACAATCACATCAATGAAACTTAACCATTGATTATTATTTATTATTCATTTTACATAGGGCGAAGTGTGTAAATTATACATTATACACAAAACTAATTAAGCATATTAAACACATTTTATATTCACGTAAAAAATGTTTTAAAAAACATGAAATATTACAAATTAATAGCTAAGGACTCGTAGTAATATTGTACTGTATATGCATTTTATACAGACTAAAGTATAATTTCTAGTATTACCGATTATATTTTAATTTATGAAAGTATATTTTATTTTGTGGTACTT